CCCATTGCACTGCCTTTGTGTCCTCAGCCTTTGAGCAGTGCAAAGAAAAACGCTCGTAGCAACATCACTTTCATTTGTTTGCCAGCATTCAGGGAGCGGAGGAGCTCTGCTCCCATCGGTGCTGTTTGGAGGATGCTGGCATGCCGGCAGCGTTAACTCTTCAGTTCCTGTGCAATCTATTGGAGCGTGGTGCTTGCCTTCTCCATCACAGCTCTGTGCTGCTGGCATGCAGCAGTTGGAGGGTCCATCTCCCCTCCCATCTACCCTCAGCGTTTCCTTAACGAGATGAGTTTTGTGGTGGCTGCAACCGGTGTCAGGGGGAATAAGGGAAGATGTGATCTGCATGGGCACTGTGGCAGTGACAAGGGCATGGGGACAAAGAGCCACTAGCAAAGCTGTGGACAAGTGGTATTGGAAAAGCAGGGCAGCACTGGGGGGAGCAGGCTGGGTCTGCACCCAGGGAGGAGCTGGGGGGGGTCCCACTGTCCTGCACACACCCCATGTTTCACCTCTATGCACACACACAGCTACTGCTGGTACCCACTTGTGGTCTGGGGCTGCAGTGATGTCCTGAGCACATCCACAGGAGTTATGGCACGGCTGCTGACAGCATAGGGTGTTCCTACTTGTGTTGCTCCAGAACAGCTTTTGATGGGGAAATCATAGCAACAAAGAGGGTGAGGAGCCTGGAGGGACGGCCTCAAGCAGTGCTGCAGGACTGCAGGCAACCACACATCCCCTGTTCAACATGGAAACATACAAAATGAGATCAATGGGCCTCGGTCTCATGTTTCCAGATGTGGATCCATTCTGAGCATGTTCAGAGCCTCTGGTCCAGGGGAACAGCCCCCATACTGTACGTATCCCAGAGGAAGAGGCCTCTCTGGACATAGAATAAAACAAGTGAGGATGATAGGAGGTAGCCAAGGTGGAGACGGTGCACAGGGAAAGCGTTCCAGGACAGTCCTTGCACAGTGGTTTTGCATCACCTCACACTAATTGTTCAGGTGAATGAGGCTGCACGTTCAGCTCAGCAACTTTGCACAGCGTTTCCATCCTCTTCCAGCCTGCAACGTGTCGGCCACAGCTCTGGAAAGCTGCAGCTGATCGATCACAAGATATCCAGAATGGCAGAAAAGCAGTGAGAGCCTTGAAGGGATCAGAAGAAAAACACAGCAAAGCCAGAGCAGGCAAAGGGCACCCGGATCTGGGGGTGATGAGCAGCAAAATGAGGGGGGAATCCCAAATGTGATTTTTGACATACCCCAGGTATGTGATGCAGGTGCAATACAGATGCAGGTGCATGGCTCGTCCCAAGCAAAGGCTTCACGTGCAGAAGATGGCCCTGGGGAGTTATACTCTACCCTTTGGGGTCAGATCCCACAGTCCCAGGCACAGCCCCAAGCACCTCCAGGTCCCTGTGCTGGTTGTTAAGCGACTCAGCCTCCTTATCCCAAGTGCGGTGCTGAAGGTTTAAATAGGAAGATATCAAAATAAAAGATAATTGTTGAGAAAGATGAACAGGGGGGAGGGGAAGAAAAAAAAAACCATCAGCATGGAGGAACTCTTGTCTAATTTCTCACCCACGCAGAGCACAGCGATATTAGTGCCTTCAACTCTGGTACGTAAAAGCTTTCATGGCTTTATTACTGGCTCCCCGAACAGCTTGTCCTTTTAATAAGCCAAGGCCTCCAGATAGCAGCTCTGCCTATGGGAGATCCCATCAGGACGTAGTTAATCCAGGCAGAAATAGCACAGAGCATCGCTGCGCTCGCCAGGCTGAGGAAGTCCTCACCTGGGTAGAGGACAGGGTTAAAATCCACCCTTAAATCCAAGCAGGAGAGAGGAGAGAGCGCAGGGGAGCTGCCACCATTCACCAATAGTGCCGGGTGTCCTCGCTTTCCCCTCCAGCCCTGCTGCCAGCTTTGGCCACGGAGGCCTTTAATTATCCAAACTGCTGCCCCTCACCGAATTAAATGCTGCTGAGGATGACTCAGTGTTTAATGGACTGGCTGCTCCTCGCGCCGGGAGAGCCAAGCGGGTGCGAGCAGGAGCACGGCATGGCATAAATCAACACTGCACAGGGGTGAATGACCCCAGCTGGGAGCTGCCTGCGGGGATTGCATCTTCCTCAGGGTAACCCCAGCACAGCTCTGAGAGCAGCAGCTCCAGGTATGCACCCCGACCCTTTTCAGCTGTGCTGCTCAGGCAATGGGGACACGCTGAATTCAGGCATCCCTCAGCATCACCGAACAGCGCATGCTTGGGCCTCATTTCTGAGGATTTAGATGTGGGTATTTCCGATGGAAAGGTCTCTGAAATGGGCAGGTGTGGTTGAAATAACAGGAGCAATTGAGTACCAAGAGAAGAAATGTGAGGTTTATCCTTGCTGCCATCTGCCCAAGCCATGATGGCAACACCAGAGGTCAAGGAGCAGCTCTGTTCACATCCTTGTTAGTCCCTCTGAAGCTTTGCCTTTCGGTAGATAATTAACAGTATGCTCAGCAATTAGGAAGCCCTGGAGCTCCACCAAGACCTCTGTGCAGGCACAGATGCTGCTAGTGGTTCAAAGGTGGAACAAAGCAATGCCAACCAATCCCAATGGGGATGGGGAGAAGTGGTGCCCACCCCCATGCAGATGGAACAGCCCCAAGGCTTGGAGCAGTGGCAGAGCATGGAGCAAGCAATGGCACCATCTCACTGCAGAGCAGTCAACGCCACAGCGCTGCCTCCAATGCCTTGGAGTAAGGTCTCCATGGCAAGCCATGTTTTAAATCAAACTCCCACTTTAAATACATGGAGATTGAAGGGCTGGTCACCCCAAGGGTGTTTCCACTCCAGGAAAGCAAGCAGCAGCATCCAGCTTCTCCAGCTCACGTGGTGTTTAATAGACTGCTAGGAATTAAATTGCCTCCCATGGCACAGCTGGGTGGCAGGTGTAGATAAAGAAGCAATTTGCCTGATCCAAGGGAGCAATAGAAGGGAGCAGCCCGGTCCTATGGGGAGGGAGAGCATCGCTTACCCAGCTTTGCCCTGGGAATGATTTTGCCCTGGGGACACTCTTCCAAGAAACAGAATGGAAGTTTGTTTCCTTAACAAAGATCTGCATGGTGGAATGGAGACAAGCATTGCTTGGAAGTGGAAAAAAACCTACGAGGTTGGAGCCAGCCCTCAGCCCCAGTTCACAAGGTGTACTCCAGACACCCCCGCTGGAAGCTGCGCTGGGAGGCTCAGCAGTGCAGCACCTTCCCTTGATTACATTTTTCCTGCTAATTAGATCAGTGAGCACAGCTGACGCACAGCCAGCCAAGGGGAGCTCAGCATCCACAAGAGCTGAGCAGCCCCTACAAAAGGATGCAGCCACAGCAGCTTTCCCCCTTCACACCCACTGCGCTCAGCTCCCAGCCCCGACCTTCAAGCCTTCGTGCCTGCTGTCTTGCTGCTATCAATTAACGCCTGGGGCTAATCGTTAACTCCTCACCAGTCCCACAGCCCTGGGTCGGTCTCCCTGCCTCTCTCAGCAGGAAACCAACTCAGTCGTCACGTGGCTCTCCCAAAAAATAACACGGAAATGCTCGTGCTCCCCACGCTCCACTCCTCTCCAAGGATGCAGCTGCATCCTTCCTGGCTGGGGGCCAGCGGTGAGGAAGTTTCCTCCCGCTGTTCACCTCCTCCCCAGCTCCTGCAGGAGGTGGCCCTGGAACATTTGGGGGCCCCGTCAGCCCCCCCAGGAAATGCAATTTCCATTTGGAGGTGCAGAGCAGCTTTGCTGGGGTTTCTGACATGGTGGAAAGCAAAGGTTTGCAAGAGCATCTACGTGTGGTGCGCCTGCTCCAACCTGAAACCCCATCGCTGCTACTGCCGGTGCATTTACTGTCAATAAAACCACTGCAGAGAATGAGCTGTCATCTGGAAAAAAAAAAAAAAAAAAAAAAAAAAAACAGGGTATGGGAGAAACAACCCCTTTGTAAAGGTTCTGATCCCTTAGACAAGGAGCTCATCCTTCACCGGGTTTCCATTGGCAGCCCCAGTGGAGAGGAGGCTGTCAGGAGGAGGTGTTGGCCTCATAGCTCGCTAACAGGGCAAGTAAGGGGGGCACAGACTCAACCCATTTCTGTCCCTGTAGGGGTGATGTCCCTATAGGGACCCACAGCAAAGCAGCAGATTTCTGCTCCAGCAAGGGAAGGGTGAGGTCCAAGACTGGGACAATGTGTTCCAGAGTAGGATCAAACCAAGCATGTCCAAGACATGAGATCTGGGGACAGGGTGCATGTGCCTGACCTCGCTGTACCCTGAATTCCCCGCATTCCCATGAGGCGCAGGGCAAACAGTGAGGACGTGCTGGGGGGGCACCTTCGGGCCAGGTGACACTTTTGGCCCAGGCTGTCCTCCCAACATCACACTGGAACATTGAAGTGCTCTCTTCCATCTGACTGCAGCCACCTTCCTGGGCACGGCAGACAGGTGCTTGCTGCATGCCTGGGGCTGAATGGGGGTCCCCCAGCTTCATGGTGGGGAGAAAGAGGGGAAGGGGCTCAGGGATGCTGCAGTGCTGGGAGAATCCTGAGCCTTCCTGCGCTGATCTGGGGAGGAGGAGAACACCCAGCACCATGCAGGGAAGCACCCAGGGGACAACAGCACCATTCTGACAGCTTCAGAAACAGCCAAAGGTGCACAGCCACGAGAGGGGAAGGACAGCAGCCTGCAGGGTCAGGTCCCCACTGCAGCGAGCATCATGCCGGGGTTGTGTCCAAAAGTGAGTGCCACACTGCTGCTCCAAAGCAGACGGAGCCATCAGGTGGGATCGGGCTGCCCGCGGGTGAAACCCAGAGGGCAGCAGAGGCCGCGGCCGAGCAGAGCAGGGTCAGGGCGGTGTGGGGGGCGCAAGGGGAACCGGGGGGGTGCGGGGAGCTGCAGCCCTGCTGCGAGGCGCTGGGGGATGGGAGCGGCACACGCATGCACGCGCACACACACATCCCCACACGCACACGGCAGCAGCACCAACAGCCCCTGCCAGCAGCCTGCAATCACTGGAGCTCCCGGCTCCTCCGCCTCTCCCTCCTCCTCCTTCTCCTCCTCCTCCTCCTCCTTCTCCTCCTCGCTGCCCACCGGCCTGCGGCACCCCTCGGCGGCCTCCGGCCCCACCAGCGCACAGACAATGACTTCATGCGGATTATGCATCTGAAGAAATCACCAGCTCCCAGATAGCCACAGGGGGAGGCATCCATCCATCCATCCATCCATCCATCCATTCCTCCATCCCTCCATCCATCGCTCCATGTGGTTGGCAGGGCAGCAGCCTCCCGCTCGCCTCCCGCTCCTCTCCTCGCACCCATCGGTCGCCTTCTCTCCGGCAATGGTCGCCTCCGGTCCCCCTGCGCGGCGCTGAGCGAGGCCCCGACGCATCCCCGCTCCCACGCTTGCACCAAAGGTACCGCCGAGGCTATTTTTATTCACCCCCCCCCCCCCCCCCCCCCCCTGTTCGTTTCCGGTTCGCCCGCCGCTGCCGGGCTCGGTGCCGCTCGCACCCTCCATCCCCGCTCCCGGCTTCGTCTTCCCACCCCGGCGGAGGGAGGTCGGCCCCATCCCCGGCACCCGCGTCGCAGCGGCCCTGACTCCAGGTTTGCATCCTCCCCTCCTTCGTCTCTTTGTCGATGCATTGGTGCCATTTGGGGGAGGCGGAGGGGATGCGTGCTGCGGAGGTGCCGGGGGGACACAACACCTCAGTCGTGCTGTGGGATGGGGAGAGCAGTGAGGAGGTGGAAGAGGGGGAGATGCAAGATGCTGCACTCCAATAAATGCAGAGATAGAATAGAGAGGGTGCGGGGGGAGAGAGGGGCACAGCAAAGCACTGCCCCATGCCAGAGTGCACCCCCAGCAGTGGGGATGGCAGTGCTCAGAGGTGCACCCCAGCATTCCCTCACCGGAACGCATCAGGCAGCGGTGACCCCCAGGAGGTGGCACTGGGCACCCAGGGGTCCCTTTCCCCACAGAGTGGCCCCCCCGGGCTGCCGGCGCGGACCATGATGGACCTGAAGGTGGACGAGGAGGAGGTGGACAGCGGGCAGCCGGTGAGCATCCAGGCCTTCGCCAGCAGCTCCACCCTGCACGGGATCTCACACATCTTTTCCTACGAGCGGCTGTCGCTGAAGCGCGTGGTCTGGGCGCTCTGCTTCATGGGTTCACTGGCACTGCTCACCCTCGTCTGCACCAACCGCATCCAGTACTACTTCCTCTACCCTCATGTCACCAAGCTGGATGAGGTGGCTGCCACCAGGCTCACCTTCCCCGCTGTCACCTTCTGTAACCTCAACGAATTCCGCTTCAGCCGGGTGACCAAGAATGACCTGTACCACGCCGGTGAGCTTCTCGCCCTGCTCAATAACAGGTAGGTGTCCTGAAGTGGCCCCTGCTGACACCTCTGTCCCCAGCTCAGCATGTCACCATGTGCCCTGCTGCACTGCTGTGCGATGCCTTCATCTCTGCAAGGAAGTGCATCCTGAGGCAGCTCGGCTTTGCACCTGGGTGCAAGCATGCACAGCCCTACATGGAGGGCGTTCCCCAGGTCCTGCACCTGCTCCTGGGCATGGAGTTGTCCCTGGGAGTCCAGAACACCCTGTTCCAGCCCCAGTGCATGTGTCTCAGCACACCCTGTTCTAGCCCCAGTGCATGGATCCCAGCACACGTGGTTCCAGTCCCTGTGCTTGTACCCAGCACGTGTGATTCCAGCCTCAGAACACGGCTCCATGCTGTAAGGCCAGCAGGTGAAGCTCCTGCATGCTACCATTACACTGCAGCCATCCCTTGGGGTGCAGGACCCCACGGTGCTGTATCCAGAGTGACACCCCTCACCCACCCTACCCAGCCCATCTCCATGCCTGTAGCAGCTCTTTGGTGCTGCCGTGCCACCCTCATGTTCCTGGCCAAGCAGCAGTCTCTGCCTGTGCGTATTTCGGTACACAGGGCATGTGCCAGGCTGCCCTGAGCTGGGACATCTGCAGGTCTGATTGTGGAGCGGTTGGTCTGGGTTTGGTGCTGTCTAAGGGGCTGTGGTGACCCTTTGGGAAGATGCTGATGGCCGAATGCATGGGACACCTCTTTGCCCATCCAAGCTGTGTTGCTGAGAGCCCTAAAGATGCCATGTGCTTTTGCCCCTTGGGTTGGGATAAGAGCAGCTCATGTGAAGCCACCACAGCCAGGCCTAAGCCTCTGCCTGCTCTTTCCCCTAAGGTACGAGATCCCGGACACGCAGACAGCTGATGAGAAGCAGCTGGAAATCCTGCAGGATAAGGCAAACTTCCGAAACTTCAAGCCCAAACCTTTCAATATGTTGGAGTTTTATGACCGTGCCGGCCACGACATCCGGGAGATGCTGCTCTCCTGCTTCTTCCGTGGGGAGCAGTGCAGCCCCGAAGACTTCAAAGTGGTGAGTGCCCCCACAGCCCCCTCCCAGGCTGTGAATTCCATGCAAGGAGGGCGTTGGTCTGCCTACCACCATTCCTCCTTCCTTTTGAATCCCAAAGAAGGGGCAGCAGCACTGCTGAGGGGGTTCCAGGGGCTGCTGCTGGGGCTTAGCATTCCGGGTTATGCAGGGTTGTGCGTGCTGGGCTGGATATTTGAGCTGGAAACCAATGCACACGGAGTGATGGATGGAGGGATGGATGGAGGGATGGATGGATGCCTCTCACTGTGGCTATCTGGAAGCTGGTGATTTCTTCACATGTGCTGGTGGCACAGCAGGGAGAGGCCTGACGATGGCCAGCAGGGAGCAGGGGAAGCCCTGTGAGCCCTTGGGGACAGCGGGTCCCAGCAGTGCAGCACAGAGGCTGCATTTCACACTGACGCGTGGCTCCAGTGCACAATAACGCCTTTGTGCCCCATGGCTGCCTCTCCCCATCAGCTGCCTTGTCTGTTTGGCTCTGATGTGGAGCACACAGCTCTGGGGTCCCCAGCCCTGTCCCCATTGTGGCCTTGGGGACATCCTGCTCACCTCCCACGACAAAGCTGCAGCACGTGCCCAGGCACCGGCTGGGTGTCCCCAGGGCTGCTGCACACATCCCAGTGCTATATGAGGGATTTTAATCTCCAGCACTAAATTCCCTTGGCAGGCTCTTGGGATAGAGAGCTCCTCTGTTGTTTGGTTGTTAAATGGAGGCGAGGGGGCTGGATCCTCCTCAGCAGGGTCAGGTCCCAGCCCACGTGTGCCACCACCAGCTTTGATGCTTGGTGCTCCCCAGTGTTTTCTGCACCAGAGCATCCTCAGGGACCCTCCCGCTGTGTCCTTACATCCGCCGTTAGGATCTAAACACCCTCCTTCCCCCTCTGCTCGAAGCGGGAGAAGCAAAATAGACGTGCAGCTGGTTTATTATTACTGCCTGGATTATTCTTTGCAAGCAGGTTTGGATGATTTAATGGATTTGATTAGAAAAAGCTGGCTCAGTGCTGTATTTATGTTGCTCGCTGGATTCCCCTTGCAGTCGTGCGCCGGCGGAGCTGTGTGTGCTGGGGATGGGGATGGTGTTGTTTGGGAAACTTTGGCCCTGTCCCTTTGTGAGTTTGGCAGCAGCTTTTGGTTTGACCCAAAGGTTCATTCCTTCCTCTTCACCACTCCCTCCTGCGTCTGTCCATGCTGAGCTCCTCTGTGCTGCTCTGGGTCCAATGGCACTAACTGAAACCAATGGGTGCCAGGGCAGCAGTGGGACCATCCCTGATGCAATGCTCTGCATCCCTACATCACGTTCTACGTCCCCATGTGATGTCCCATTGTCCCCATGTAATGTTCCATTGCCTGTGTGATGCTCCATGTCCTTATGCAATGCTCCACATCCCTATGTGTTGCTCCATCACCCCTACGCAATGTTCTATGTCCCTGTGTGATGCTCCATGTGCCCATATAATGTTCTATCACCTCTGTGCAATGCTCTGTGTCCCCAGGCAATGATCCATGTCCCTTTGTGATACTCCACGTTTCAATGTGATGCTCCATGTCCCTCCTTAATGCTCCACATCCCTACATGATGCACCACATCCCCCAGCCTGCATTGCCTCTCTACTGGTCCCACTGCCCTGTGCTCCCCTCTGCGTTCTGGGGCCCCTAACACAGTCCAGGCAGGAAGGATGCCTTGGCAGACACTATCACAGACAGCGCTGCCCCCTCCTCTGACTGAAACAGAGGAGATGCTGTATCCAGGAGCACTGTCAGGGGGATTTTAGGGCTGCCCAGGCTCCATGTGCTGGAAGGAAGCTGCCTGTGTACAGGTGGGGACGGAGATTGGTCCCTTCTGCCTCCATCACTTTTGCAACCATCTAACTTTGGTCCTGTTTAGAGCACCAAAGCCTTTAAAGAGATCTGGGGATGTAGCATGGGGGCACCAATCCCTCCTCTGGCTCTTCACAGCCTCTCCAGCACCAGGTGGGTGCCTGTGGTCCATGAAGCTCCAACCCCCTACAGCATTCTGGGCCGGGGATGTGTAGGGAGCTGCAACCACCTCCTCCCCCAGCTCCAAAATCCTAGCATAGCCTGTGGGCAGCCATAAAGTGTGGAACAAATCCTGTTCTCCCGTGGACCCTAGTCCTGTGGAACATGGGGTGAGGGCATCCTCATCACCAGGGCTGTGCCCATAGCCAACACATTGTTCCTTATGTAATGCTTCATGTGCCCACGTGATGCTTTATCATCCCTATTTGGTGCTCCAAGGGCTCCTTTATGGGAACAGGGGATTCTCCCTCCCCACTGCCTCCATTCTGGGGCTGTACTCACTAGCAGCAGAAATCAGTTTCTTGCCTGCTGCCTCATAACATGTAAGTTGGAACTTCCCTGTGTGGCCTCATTGGATCCTTGCTTGCGTTTCCACTCTCTTCCCACACCACAGCCCCAGGAACCTCACTCACACCCCATGGATCCGCTCCTTACCCAACAAGAGAAAGGCCCAGGAGTCCCATCTCTAAGCAGGGCTCCAGAGGCCATTAATTTTCTTTGCATCCCAAGGAAAAGGAGGAGAAACATCCTCTGCACCCTGGGATTTGGGATGGGAAGTTGGGCTGTGCCATGCAAACCACTCTTAAAGCTGGGGGCAATGCTGTGTGCTTGGCTCTGCAAAGTCCCTTTTGGGCACAGTGCTGCTGAGATGATGCTGCCATGTCCATTATGATACGTTTGCAGTTTTTCTTCTTGCATCTCTGCAGCCCGTCCTGAGGGAGAGCCATGTCCACATGTCCCCATCCCCGTTGTGCTTTGGGGCTCAGCAGCCTCTGGGCAGCACATGGGGGCACCGTGGATCACTGCAGAGGGTTGAGACCTCTGGAACACTCCCATCAGGCTCCAGGGCTGAGCTGGCACTGGAGAGAATTGAGTCTGATGCAGGGATCATGGCACTGCCTCGTGTGTCTTCTGCCCTGGAAGCAAAGAGCTCAGGGAGGATGAGAAGGGAGGGAGCAGGAAGGCTCTGGTGTGAACCCACACCACGCTCCTCCTTTTCTTCCTCCCATCTCTGGAGCTGCTGTAACGGAGAACGGATCAGGAACACTTTGCTGTCCCTCCAGCCCCTCTGAGCCCCCCAGCACCCACTGATGGACACCGGCATCGTGAGCCCAGAGCTCAGTGTGCCCACAGCAAAGTGCCCACGGATAACCACAGAGTGTGGAGCATCTCCTACACAGCCAAGAGTGCTTGGAGTTCCTAAACAAAAACCACACGGCTCCATTCACACTCTGCAAAACCAACCTGGGGACCTGACGGATGAGCCCTGCAGAGCACCGCGTTTACAAATGGTGTAAAACACGCGAGCGACGCACATAAATGGCTCCTAAAAGCAGGCTCCTAAATAACTCATCAGCGCTTGAAACCGTTTGCATGTCGCTATGATCTCCATGCTGTGTTGCACCTCCGGCGGTTGTCCTCCCCCCCCAGCAGCACCGCGAGGCCTGGCTGCCCCCACAGTTATTCTGTTGAGCTGTGGTTCCATTGACCCCGGAGCTTGCAGCATTTTCCAAGCGAATCGCATGGGATCCGACTGCGCTGCGCGGAGTAATTGGAGGTGATGGAGCAGAGGAGCGGCTGCAGGTGGGTTGGGAACAACCCGGCTCTGCCCACTTAGAGGATTTCTGCATGTTGGTGTTTTGCTCAAAGCAAAGAAGCCGTTGAGCCATGCAGCCCTTGGGCACAGAGGAGAGGCACCAGGAGCTCTGCTCTGCATCTCCTTGGCTTTGCTGGGGCTTTTCCAGTGGGTGCCCTCAGGGCACAGAGTTTGGGATCCCTCAGCCATGCACAGCTCTGCTCACTCTGTGCTGTTTGCTTGAAGCCTGTTGCATTTCACCTGTTTTCACCATTCCTATTCCTGCATGGGAGTGATGCCACTGAACCCAGAGGGATTTTGGCAGAGCCAAAAGCAGCAGAGGAGCATCAGGAGCACCAGCACTGGACACAGCACAGTGGGGGTTCATATGTGTCTGCACCCTGCAGCTGCTTCACCAGCAGCTCTGTCATGGAGCAGCCGCATCATTTAACACCTGGAAGCTGCAGGCATGGAGCAGCACCATCCCACCAGGAGGGAGGAGGCAGAGAGGAGGACAAGCAGCAGCAGCAGGAGCAGCACTGGGCACTGAGTCCCCATCCTGGTGATGCAGCCCACCTCAACAGCACGCCTGGAGCTGCTGCACACGTGTGTGCACTGTGCAAGTGTGGCAACAATGCACACCCAGAGATGTCGTACTCAACCAAAGCATTTTGCTCATCCCAATGCATTGTGAACTCTAAGTACTTTTGCTCACCTGGAGATGTCAAATCCACCCAAAGCACTTTGTGTATCCCAGTGCATTTTGTACACACAAAATTCTTTACACACCCAGAGGTGTTGGTGCACACTCCAAGCACTTTGCACACACAGAGGTGTTTGTACACCTAAAGCACATTGCATGCCCAGAGATGTCTTGCACAGCCACTGAGGCATGCACAATTGTGCACACTCAGAGGTGTTGTGCTCACCTCATGCACTCTGCACACCCCAATGCACCATGCACACCTGCAGGTACCGTGCACACCCAAAACACATGCTTTGCACACCCCAAAAAGCCTTGTACGACTAATGCACTTTGCACACACCAATGCATTGTGCACACCTGCAGGTGCTGTTGCACATCCAACACACTGCACACCTTCATGCATCTCGTACACCTAATGCACTTTGCACACTCAGTGCACACCTGTGGGTGTTGTACACATCCAAAGCTCGTTGCACACCCCAATCCACCATGCACACCCAGAGGTGGCATGCATGCCCCAAGAGCTTTGCACACCCAAAAGCACATTGCACACCCAGAGGTGTTGTGCCAAGAGCTCAGAGCAGCTCAGATGCACGCTGGGGCCCTGCAGGGCTGTTACTGTTCCTCTTGAGATGCTTTTGCACACAAAACCATTAACAAATGAATTATTAATTATTATTAATAAGGTTAAATGGTATCTTCAGCTGCTGAAAGAGATGAGGAGGGTGTGCAGATGGAGGTGAGGAGTCCACAACCACAGAGCTTTGGGCACCGGCTCCAGGGGAAGCTGCAGGCTGGGAATGCAGCACTGAAATACCGCCAGGAAATGGGAATTCGTGCAAAGGAATTCCCCTTCATCTCCTTTCTATATTGATCAGAGGCCCCATTGGAGCAGCAGGACCGGCACACAGCGTGATGGGCAACAGCAGTAATTTGGAAGAAATGCACAATTGGTGCAATTCCCCCTCCGTCCCCCAGCACTGAGCCAGGAGCCGGGGCAGAGGGGCACACTGAGCGTGCAGAGGGAGAGAAAAGAACCATTCCACAGCCCTTCACCTCAGGTTTAATTTCTCTGCCTTTTTGTAGCTGCCAATGTTTTATCATCTGCAGAGTTTGGTCAGAGCCCTCCGAGCTGCACTGCAACTCCTGAAACAGCCGTGACTCGAGATGCTCCTCACCATCTCAGGCTCAGGCTTTCTGTACATATACTGGCCTTCACAAACGGATGTTACAGTTCTTGGTTTTAAATTACCATTATTATTCCCAATCATTTGTTTTTCTTCCCCGCTGCATCCAGGCAGTCTCCCTAAGGACCGAGCCAGGGCAGAGCCCCCCATCCCTTTGCTTTGTGGGGGTTGCAGCACCTGGAGCAGCTGCAGAGCGGGGCCATGCGAGCAATCCACCTTGCTTGGATTAGATTAGATGTGAAAACCACCCAGCACACAGCAAGGGAGCCGGATGGGAATACAATTTCCCCCCCCATTCCCCCACCAATAAAACCGTCAGTTTGGATTGGTTTGCACCAAGCATCGAAGCAATTGTGAAGGATGTCAGAAAGAAATCACAACTCAGCTTACAGGCAACTTGCAAGCAGCAGGAGCTACAGAAAGGCTTTTAGACAAGCATCTGCATGGAGTAAGGCTGGAATTCACAGCACCCCCTGCACCTCAGCACTGACCCCCACAATGCAAAACCTGTGCTGCACATGGAGAAAAAGTCACGCAGAAATATCTCGATATTACAGATGCTTTTGGGCACAGGAGGAGAAATCGGTGCTCAGATCTTTGGATACGGCAGCGGGTGCATGAAGGAGCACAGCTAAGGGGGCTTGCTCACAGACCCTCCTCAGCAGTGGGGCTGCAGAGCCCTGCAGTGCTGCCAGCGCCTGCACCAGGCTGGGAAGCACCGAGACGAGGAGGTTTTGAAAGATTAATGGAGTTTAAATGGGAACGTTTGGAGAGAAGATAAGGCTCGTCTGATAGGAAATCACACGGAACAGCCAGGGAGGCCCCAGGTCTGTAATGAAGTCCACTTAGTGCGTTACTCACTATAATGTGTTTCTTATTAAAGTCCTGTGCTGTGGACGTGGGTCTGCAGCCAACAGCCCCGGGGGGGTGGCATGGGGCCATTGGGACAGACTGCCATCCCCACAGCAGCCTTTTGTCCCCATCCTTTGTCCCCTGAGTCTGGAGCAGCAATCCCACATCACCCACAGCTGCATTTCCCACAGCTGCACCCACGGGGACAAAAGACAGCAGTGGGGAACCATACAGATGGACAAAAACTTTTTTTTTGTTTTTTTAAATTTCATTTAAATAACCGTTTTTTTCTGCATTAGAATGTGACATGCTAATCCACTGTGAAGCGTCTAATCTGGGGGATAAAGGGGCGGATAACACCAGTACGCCCAGCTTGGCCGGTGGAGCGAGCAGAGGCAAGGTGGTAGCATCTGATAAAGGCGGTGGGATTAGTGCCGCAGGATCCCCGCATCCCACCCCACTCTTCCACCTCTGAGAGACGGAGATTTCCCCCATCTCCGCCTCATGGTGGGGCAGAGCCACCCCGGCACCGAGGCGCGTCGCAAAGCTGCTTTTCTCCCCCTTGCTGCGTAATGCAGGTGCAGGGCAGCCCTTCTGCCCCACCAAATATCCCCTCCCTCCCCTGCTGCCGGCAGCTACGGGGTTGCAATGCGTCCCATCGAACCCCAGCGCCTGGATACGGAACCAGGCGAACCCGCGGCACCTCCTGGGGCCAGGCTGCGGTTTGCATGCCTGGGATAACAGAGCTCACAATGTTGTTTTCTCCTCGCCTCCTCGGGGATTGGTTTATCTCTATGAATAACTCCATCCCGGCTTTGATCTCCTCTGCCATTAAAGCGTGACAGGCTGTGAAATGCGCTGCTGCCGCTGCTGTCAAATCCCCCATCCGCCTCCCTCCTTCCCCGCCGCCTCCGTGCTCCCTTGCTCCGGGGAACCTCGGTGCTCCCGGCCCGTGCCGGCGCTGCGGGATCGGACAGAGGGCAGAAACCGCGATGGAGCCAGGAAACACCGCTCTGCTGCCACGGTCCCACTGCTGTGGGGGACACAATGACACCGAGCATCCCCGTTCCCCAGGTTGGGGGCACAGCAGTGGCATCCCGGTGCATGCTGCCACGGGGGCTGATGTCACAGTTAATTATAGCATCCCTCATCCTCCTCCCCCGCAAAAGCGTTACCTGGAAGAGGGTAAAAAATATCTCCTGCTGAGGGAGGAGCTGGAGAGAACCCAAGGGCTCCTCCAACATCTCCAAAATCCACAGAAATTGGGACGGTGACCCCATGTCCCCAACTTGGGGACACAGCCATAAACTGTCCTCAACCACAGGGTCAGGATGGGTTCCTCTTAGTTCTGCTATGCTTCTGGCTCTGACCACCCCTGGTCACCTTCATCCCTTTGAGCATTCACCCCCAGGCATCATTTGTCCTTCCCAGGAACAGCCCCAGAGTTCCCCCCCAGGTTTCAGCCAAGTAAGACAATGATGGAGTGCTTTCATTACAGCACCTCCCTCACCCTGCAGCAATTGCTCCTGAAAAGCACAATGAAAGTCCCCTCCCACCCCCCTGTACCATTAGACTGCATTAACAGCTTGCTCACACCAGAACCAGGGAACAGAAGAAAACCCACCCTGACCTCAGCCAGCTCACACCTGCTCATCCACCAGGGCTGGCTCCTGTACCACATCCCAAACCCTTGCCTCCCAAAACAGAACAGCCCAACATCCCCAAGCCTTCTCCCAGCTGATGCCTTTTAAAGCCTTGCCCTGCCCATGATGCAGCTGTAGCTCATCTCCATCCAAATACCAAAGGGCTGTGACTGGTCCCTGTGGCTTGCTGGTTTCTAGCTCCCTGGTCCCAGTTGCATTCCCAGGATTTTTCCAGCTGAGACTCCAGGTTGTCCCCAAAGGCACAACCTTCTCTCAGCCCTATGAAATTTCATCCTGTGGCTCTGGCACTTGTCCCCAAGGTCACCCCACGCTTGCTTGCTTTTCCTGGCTTTGTGTCTGGTTCTTCTGCTTTGTCCCCTTTACACAAAGGGCCCTTTGGGGGAATACTGAGTGTGGGGACACCTAGGGCGGACCCTCAGGTAACACAGTGCTGTCCCATCATTGTCCCAGTGGCATTTGTCTTCCTGGCTGAGCCTTGGTGGCAGTCCCCTGTGCACGCCCCACACATTTCATCTCTTGCTCTGGCAGAGCTGATAACTTCACACAGGGATCAGAGCCATTCTTCAGTGGTTTTCTGATTTCATTTGTTCACTTTCTTTGAGAATACCTGTGACCATGAGCTCAGATGTGCACAGGGACCAGGATCCACCTGGGGAAGGATGCACAGCTGATGCAGGGGCTGGGGTGTGTGATTGTTGCACCCATGCATCAGCGAAACCCCCTTGCCCGGCTCCTGTGCATGGAAGTGGTGCCACATGCAGAAGCTCCCCTCCCCTCAGGCTGCCGATGGCGGCTGCGGTGCTGGGATGGGGTTGGAGATTGCTCTGTGGTCACACTGGATGCTTTTACAAAGTGCTGAGCGCAGGAAAAAAGCAAACCGCAAGAAGGGGCCGTGCTGCCGCAGGGCTGCAGGGAGTGGGGGGTGATGCTTTTGCTCCTGGATTCACCCAGCTCCAGCCCCACGCCTTCCCAAGGCTGCCTCCCAAATCTCATCCCGCACACCTGAAAGCCGACACTGGGGGTTCCCTGTGCCCCACATGGAACAGAACATGGGGCGATGCACTGCGTGGCTCTCCAGGAGGAGGCATCGCCCAAAACATGACAATGCCCAAATCCTGCAAAAAGCAGCATGGGCTTGGAAGACACCCAACCTCAGGCATCACCTATGCTCACATCGCTGTCCCACTGTGCGGGGAGATGAGCCCATGGGGATGAGTGAGACCAGGATGAGCAACACGGAGCACTTGGGGACACCACAGCATCCTTACTGGCACCACCCAGATGGGCATGACGGCAGGACAGTGACATGGAGCTTTGGGCAATCTCTGGCTGCCACGTGAAGAGCTTGGAGACCCCGGTGAGCCGAGCAGATGGAGGCTGCGGAAACAGCCTGGCACGCGGCAGGACAGCATGGATGGAACCTCTGATCAGGCTGCCGGGGATGGAGGATGCAGCATACCAGGTGCCTGCACGCACAACATCCACGTAAACCCATCCATGCACCCCCCATCTGTGCACACCCATCCATGCACAGCTGTGCACCCCGGATCTGGCAGCCCTTCAGCTCCCAGCACAGCAGCGCATCCCAGAGCCAGCAACGTCTTCACTCCGTCCTACCAGCCGCAGCCGGGCTGCTCCCGTGGGAGCAGGGAGCCCGCAGAACCGCCCCTCGCTCCTCCCCAGCTCCTCATGTCCCCTCCTCTCCAACCACCCCCCCCCCCCACCCGAGCAGCCCTCTGCTCTTCTTCTGCTCCTCTCCCCTCGCTCTGCGCATCACTGCACACCTCTCACTCCTTTTCCCTTCTCTTTCTCTGCTCCCAACTTTTCCCTTTCCTCCAACCCAGCCCCTCTCACCCACTCTATGAAGCACTGATTCACCACTGGAGACCCCCAACCTGCAGCAGGATCAGGACCCCCGCCCCACACCTGGGATCCCCATTCTGCATAATGCCCCTCCAGATATTCTGCACCATCTCCTTCTCCAACGAGGAAGCACCAAGAGATGCCACAGCAGCTGGGAGAGGAGAGAACGGAGCCGATGAGTTCCTGTACGGGCAGAAGGAGGAAGAAGAGGAGGAAGAGGAGGACACAGGGGCAGCCACAGACTTCGTGGCCTTTGCCAGCAGCTGCACACTGCACGGGCTGAGCCACATCTTCGTGGAGGGCAGCCTGGGTGTCCGGCAGGCGCTCTGGGCGCTGGCTTTCCTCCTGTCCCTCTCCGTCTTCCTCTACCAGGTGGCCGACCGCATTGTGTACTACCTGGAGTACCACCACGTCACACTGCTCAGTGAGGAGGACAGCCCCGAGATGACTTTCCCCGCCGTCACCTTCTGCAACATCAACCGGGTGCGGGTCTCGCAGCTCAGCCACGAGGACCTGCTCTACCTCGCGCCCCTGGTTGATTACGAGCCCGGGATGGAGCTGGGCTTTGTCCCAGCCCAGTTCAGCTCTTGGGATGAGGATGAACCCCTAAATTTGCACGGGTTTTTTAACCGCACTTGCCACCAGCTGGAGGACATGCTGCTGAGCTGCAGCTACCGGGGCGAGCAGTGTGGCCCCGGAGACTTCGTGGCGGTGAGTAGCCCTGTCCCACTGCTCTGGGGACCAGATGGTGGCACAGTTCTTTTGCCTGGCACAGTCATCTCCTGGCTCCTGTCGCCCCTTACCTGCCCTACAATCGCACCTTCTCCTCTCCCCTTTCCATTACCTGGGACTGCTCAGTATGACGAGCGCTGCGTTCGCAGCTTGGGATGGGGAAAAGCAAAGCCCTGGGCATAGAGCAGGCTCCTGGAGGATTCCTGCTGCCTGTCTCCTGGCCTCATAAGGAGAGGGAAGGGACCAGGGAGCAGCTCCCACCAGCATCGTGTCAGATCAGCCACAATGGGTGATGCTGTCCATGCTTGGAGACAGGCACCCAGGCATCCTGGTGGTGTTGGTGTTGATGAGACACCTCCATCCTCATATCCCCACCACACCTCGGGATTTGGGCTTGGTACTGTGCAGCCTGCAGCCTGCTGGCCCCAAATGATCCCTTTGCCAGTGGCAGCTCAGCAGCATGGAGCTGTGCTGGCAGCCTGAGGTGAGAGCTGGAATGGGTAAGAGGAGAGGTGGGGGGGGGGTGTTGAGGATCTTATCCAGCCCCCATCTGTGGGACTGGAGGCGATGGGGCAGATACTGGTGAGGGCACAGGGCTGAGTGCCGCAGTCCTGGTGCTGCGGGATCAGAGTGCTGCAAATCTGCAAAGCATCTTCACTGACCTGCACCCACCGCCTTGGTGGGGATCTTGTCCTTCTATCAGGGCAAAGGCAGCTCCGATGCTAAGAGACCCCATGGGGCAGGGGTCTGGGTCTGGCTGTTCCCCAGGCTGGGCATGGCTGCATTCTGGGATGGGTTCTGGCTCCATATTGTAGTTCCAGTGGCAGTCTGGTGCCAGCAGAGGGGCCCCAGCCTCAGCCTTGTGTCCTCTCCCACAGGTGTTCACACGCTATGGGAAGTGCTACACCTTCAATGCAGGGCAGGACGGCAAACCCCGGCTCATCACCATGAAAGGGGGCACTGGCAACGGCCTGGAGATCATGCTGGACATCCAGCAGGACGAGTACCTCCCAGTGTGGGGGGAAACAGGTAACCCAGCAGCTTCTGGGCTGCTTTCCAGCAGCCTCCCAGTTCCACACCCCACAGGACCACATCCCCAAGGTTCTTTCCTTCTGTTTCTCACCACTTCAGGTCTTTGGCTTTCTTTTTTGCTCCTTGTCTATGCTATTTGCCATGGCAACTCCCTGTCGCTTTAGACAAGCAGCCATCACTTGTTTATAAATAGAGCCAGGCACTTTCCACACTGTTCTTTCCAAGCTCTGGACCACAGGGCTGGAGGGGACAAGGACACAGGGTGGATGGATGGATAAATGCATGGACATGTGAAGGAGTGAATTCACCAAAGGGAAGGGTGGGAGACAGGAAGAGTTTTCTACCTTCTTGCACCAGGGCTCAGCTCCTCTCTGCTCCTCTCTGCTACAGATGAGACCTCATTTGAAGCCGGGATCAAGGTGCAGATCCACAGCCAGGATGAGCCTCCACTCATCGACCAGCTGGGCTTCGGTGTGGCACCCGGGTTCCAGACCTTTGTGTCCTGCCAGGAGCAGCGGGTAGGGGCTGTGGGCCCTGCTCAATCCCTCCCAACCCCAGAGTGCTGAGCCTCTGCACTCCCTGTCTCCTGCCCCAGCGTGGGATGGAAATGGGGAGCGGTGCACAAGGCTCCATCCCCTCACCATGCTGTGGGCAGCAGGGACGTGTGCTTCTCTCCTTATCCCTGGCTTCCCTCTCAGCTCATCTACTTGCCACCTCCCTGGGGCGACTGTAAGGCCACAACGGGTGACTCGGAGTTCTACGATACTTACAGCATCACCGCCTGCCGCATCGACTGTGAGACCCGCTACCTGGTGGAGAACTGCAACTGCCGCATGGTGCACATGCCAGGTGAGCTATGCATCACTATGTCCCATCCCAAATCCAGTGGATATGGTCCTATAGCAAACCTGTTCTGTCGCCCGCAGGTGATGCCCCTTATTGCACCCCAGAGCAGTACAAGGAGTGCGCAGATCCAGCCTTAGGTGAGGCTGCCCAGTCCCATGGGACTGAACAGATGGCATCGGGGTTTCCCACATCCCTATTTAAATCTCTCTTCCTGTCCAGATTTCCTGGTGGAGAAGGACAATGAGTACTGTGTCTGTGAGATGCCCTGCAACGTCACCCGCTATGGCAAAGAGCTCTCCATGGTGAAGATCCCCAGCAAAGCCTCCGCCAAGTACCTGGCCAAGAAGTACAACAAGTCAGAGCAGTACATCGGGTAACGCACCACAGGTATGGGGAGGCAGTGCATCTCTCCAGCACCACGACCTGACGCCGCTTTCTGCCCACGCAGGGAGAACATCCTGGTGCTGGACATCTTCTTTGAAGCCCTGAACTATGAGACGATCGAGCAGAAGAAGGCGTATGAGGTGGCTGGATTGCTGGGTGAGCACTGTGGGCTGGTGGCTGTGCTGAGGGCTCATGTTGGCACCCTTCAGTGCAGCCCCATGTGCTGTCACTCCAGTCCTGGGGCACCATGGTGTGCACACAGCGTGGGTGCAGAGCAGAGCAGAGCAGAGCAACCCCCAGGGTCACAGCAGCGATGAGTTCTGCCCTTTCTCTGCTCCATCTGCCACCAGTGCCCTGCTGACAGCTTTCCTCTCCCCCCCCCAGGTGACATCGGAGGACAGATGGGGTTGTTTATCGGGGCCAGCATCCTCACCGTGCTGGAGCTGTTTGACTACGCCTATGAGGTGAGACCCAAAATGCTGTGCCCAATTCCTGTGGGGTCGACACAGCCCCCTCGGCACCGTGTCCCCCTGTCGGCTGGGGCAGCCCCCCATGATGGGGTCCATCTTGGAGCTGAGAGTCATCTCCTGCAGGTGATCAAGCACCGGCTGTGCCGGCGGGGCAAGTGCCACAAGAACCACAAGAGGAACAACACGGACAAGGGCGTTGCACTGAGCATGGATGATGTGAAACGCCACGTGAGTGCCGGGCCGAGGGTCTCGTTGGGGGCACTGTCAGCATCTGGGGGAGAAGTGGCAGCAGGCACTGGTGCTCTAGGCAGACAGGGCTCGGTTCTGGGTGAAACCTGTGACCACAGCATCCCATCTCTGCCCCTGCAGAATCCCTGTGAGAGCCTACGGGGTCACCCGGCCGGCATGACGTACGCAGCGAACATCCTACCTCACCACCCGGCCCGGGGCACCTTTGAGGACTTCACCTGCTAACCGACGTCTGGATGTACAACAACCCGAGCTACCAAAGCCCTCCGGAGAGCTGCCCTTCTCCCAGAGGAGAGACACAGCCAGGGGACCTCGCTCAAAGCCACGGCGGGATGCGGACAAGAGCGGCGGCCTCAGATTTTGGGGCAGGCGGCCGGGCCGGGCTGCGCTGGCTCAGAGACTCGAGGAGGCTGCAGCCCAGCCGCGGAGCCACGCACAGCGGGCCGGGGCGCGGGCCTGCCCCGTCTCCTCCCCCTCGGCTCCCCTCGGCCTTTTTAACTAGAAACCCAGAAGCCAAGAAGAAGCAGCCTTCGGGCCGCAGAGTCTCCATCCACAGCCCTGTTCGTCTGTCTGTCCGTCCGTCCGTCGTCTCCATGCTCATTCTGCTCCCCAGGCTTCAGCCTGTGCCTGTCCCCGTGCCTGGCATCATCCCAGAGCCCCAGCAGAGCCCCCTGGGCCGTCTCTCACCACGACAGCCCTGCCTGGGCGCCCGCAGCCGCTCCATGTGCACAAAACGGAGCGGCTCCACCTCTCCAAAATGTCTTCCTCGGCCTCTGCCCCGGGGTTGGCAACGTTGGGCCGTTGGGTGGAGGGCTGTGCCTTGGGGGACCGCAGAGGGCCTGCAGCCTGGTTATGGTGTAGGGCTTCGTTATGGCTTGGGGCCCCATCGTGGTGTATGGCCTTGTCACTGTGTGGGGCCCCGTTATGGTGTGAGGCTCCATCATGGTGTGGGGCCCTGTCACAGTGTGGGGCCTCATTGCACTGTCACAGCGTGGCCTCCCTACCCCGCAGTCCCCAGGAAATCTGGGGTTCCCCCCATGCAGCCCTCAAAACAACCGTCCTCGGGGAGAAAAGCCTAAGGAAATCTCCAGCTCCCCTTGGTACTGAGTTGGCTGGGCAGCCATAGGAGCCCCAGCATCAACAAGGGGACAGATTTAAGGGACACCCTCTGGCACACTGGCCACAGGGCTGCAGGCTCCCACCCCACTCCCAACCCTCAACAACGGCCACCCCTGGGGGCCATGAGCCCTGGGCACCATCGAAGCTCACGGCCCGGGCCCCCCAGTTCTCCCCATCGCTGCCCCCTCCCAGCAGTGGCGCCATTGGCCACCCTCAGCCCCCACATCAAGCAAGAGCCTTCCTGGGGCTGAAGTGCTTCTTCTCTTTAAGAGCTTTTGCAATAAGTCTTTTTAGTAGTTATTATTTCTAGACTTTTTTTTTCCTTTTTTTTTTTCCCCCCCATTATTATCCTCATTATTATTAATTGCTGCCTGACCAAAATTAGGAACTGGGGGTCAGTCCTTTGTTATCCAGCAATCACCCAAAGACAAAAGGTTGGCCGCATCCATAAATTTTCTTATGGATTTTTCCTAATGTTTCACTGCGTTTCATGTATTTATTTTCTTCCTTTTTCGCCCGTTAAAGCTTTTAAAGATGGGGCTGGGATGTGACCTTGAGGCTCGCCTGTTGGAACATACAACTTTTGGTTTGTTTCTATTATGCCATCTGCATTTTATATTTCTTATATATAATATATATGACTATATATATATGTGTACATATATATATATATATCTATACATGCATCATATCAGTGTAGATATCCATTCTGTAGCATCTAGGCCTTGTTCTTGTGCCATTTTTTTTTCTGTTACTGATCTCTGAATGCCTTCAAGTGTATAAAGTGTTGAATTCTCTCTGGTATCTGTACTATGTACACACATTTTCATAGGAAGCACAATAAGATGACAGATGCATTGTACATCAATACCTGCTACTCTTAACGACGATATAAAGAATGATAAAATCGATGAGCACCGAGCCTGTCTGTGCTGTGGGAAATGCTCCTCACTGAGCCCTGGTGCTCAGGTGGGCTCCAGCCCCACATCCCTGGTCCTGTTCCACCATGAGCACACCCAATAGATGCTTTGGGGCTGGAGGATGGGAATCGATTTCTGCTCCCAAGCAGAGGGAGGAGGATTCACATCTGTGCAGATGCTGATCTTCAGCAGCTCCAACGCTTCCGTTTTGGGACAGATCCCTGAGGTCAGCAGAAATGCGTCACCAGCTCAAATATTACCTGGTTTTATTTTAACCAAGTTAGTAGCATCTGTAGTACAAGCCATTTGTAAACAGTTTCTGTCCTTCAGATTTCTAGCTGCAAAGAACAAAAGTAGCATGCCAAATCCAGCACTGGGCATCCAAAAAAGCCCTAGGGACCCCATGGAGATTGAATAATAGCAAACAGGCAGTGGGCAGGGTATGCTGAAATGCCAAACTTGCTCCTGGAAATAGCAGATGGGTGGTGTGCATTCAAACTAGAAGAGACTTGCTGCTATTCCAGTCCTCCTCTGCCAGAGCTGGTGCTGCAAAGGCCACAGGGTGGGCTTTGAATAGGAACAGGATGATATAGCTAAGCCCAGAAGGGAGTTAATGAACCTAAATTAATTGCAGGCAGACACTGTGAAGCCAGAGCAGCTCACTATGCTCACTACCTCTGCAGTGGCACTCAGCAGCTCCTGCTGCAGGGGCAGGCAGCAGCTCAGCCCCACAGTCTCTTCCCCAGCTGCCCAAGAACATGCTGGGTTCCATCCACTGCAACCTCGCATCGCATCCTCAGCCTCAGTCTGAGGTCTTTGCTGCGGATGGAAGCAGCGTGCAAGTCACAGCCTGGAACCGCCTCGCAGAGGGGTGCAGGGACCCCAAAAGCAGCACAGACAGAGCAATTCCCAGCCCTGGAGCCTGAAATAGGTGAGGGATGGGTGCATGGACAGAAGCCAGACAGGACCCAACGAGAGCAGTGGACAAGTTGTACATTTTCTGACTCCAGGCTCCGACTTGCACACCATCCATACACCACCAGAGCAAGGAACAAGGATCATTGCATTGCTCAGGATTACAGGGATGGACTGCAAACAGCTGGCGCGCTGCAAGATGTGTGATGCATGTAGACTGTGCATCCAAGGCTGTTAGTGCACACTGCGCACGAGACAAGGAGTTAATTACACTCCCCAGGAAGCACCACTGACAATGCACGCAAGGACAAGGTGCTGCATGCCTCAGCCTGAGGTTGCTGGGAAGCACCTGCTTGCACACCGTTGATTGTGTGGCTGCTGAAACCCTACAGAGCAAGGATTAATCACGCACCATGCAGATAGTGGCAGCACAGATAGCATCACCTCCTCTCCTCCACAGCAATAACTCCTGGTTACCACTTGCTCTCTGCTAACGTTGCCAGCAGAAACAGGCGCTGGGCTATAATTACACAGCCCTGGATGCTGCTCGGCTGCCTGGAGCCAGAGCCACGCGGGCTGGGGAAGGTTTCAGCAGAGCTGCCTCATGCCAGCAGGTGCAGGAAACGAAGGTGCACGGGTAGCATTTCACTGAGCAGTGAACCAAGCAAACCCTCAGGCAGAGGGAAGGAGAAAGGACAAGTGTAAGGAGACACTGGGTTATTTTCCCCCCCGTTTCTTATGAAACACAGCTAATGACAGGGGACAAGGAGAACTGGCAACAGAACATCCCTGGAGAGAGGGAGCTGGGGCAACACTACGCTCAGCTCAGGGATCTCTTAGGATCCTGCATTTTGTAAGTGTGGGTTACAGGAGTGGACAAGGGCTGAGCTGCTAGAAAGGAGCTCTGCAGAAAAGGACATGGGTCTTCTGGTGGCCAATGGGGTAACCATGAGCCAGGAGTGTGTCCTGGTGGCCGAGAAGGCCAATGATTCCATAGGGTGCACTGCACAGCACGCTGAGAGAGGGAGGTGCATCTCCCCCCTACTCTGCCCTGGAGAGGCCATAACTGGAGCACTGGGTGCAGTGCTGGGCTCCCAAATTCCAGGCAGACAGAGAACTGCTGCTGGAGAGAGTTCGTCTCTCAGCTCAGCCCTTCCTTTCTCTTCCTTCCTTTGTCCCTCCCAGGCACTTCCCAGCCTGCCCAAAGGCTCCTGCCGGGTTTTAAGCCTCACTTGAAGTTGCTGCATCTGAACAATACGGAGCAGATAAGTTCCACCGCTTCTCCTCCCCATGAATATTTCATCAGGCAGCCAGGCGCCAAGGCTGTCGGAGGTGGCATTACATTAACTGCATGGACACACGGATGCTGAGACAACAGCTAATGGCTGTGCTCACAGCATCATCCTGTTTTCCATCGAGGTCAGGAAACACTAAATTTGGTGGAAAAGGTGCCAACATCTCCCCACTTCTCTCCTCAGTCAACAATGCCACGCACTGTACAGGACAGCCTTCTAAATGGCCCATGATCATCATTAATTGCTTAATTAATACTTGCGGTGTGACTGCTCTCTTAGTTTTTATTCATGGATTAATGCAGGCTGGATGCAGGTCCCTCTGCTCTATGAACAACCACACGGATGAGTGCCCTGGGGACAGGGAAAGTAATGCTAATACTTGCAAAAAGCGGCCTTTAATTCAGCGCTGTGCCTTGTGCAGCAGCTGCTGAGGGAGGAATCCCCCTCCGGGCATCCCCCAACCCTGAGCGAAGCAGTCCCAGACAGGGGAACCTGTGAGAATGGGGGACCCAGGGCACCCACACCCCCACTCAGTCACAGCATCGAGGCTCGATGCCATGAGCACTGTCTCCCAGGACCCTGCACCCTCATATGCACCTCCCCATGGTCAGTGCACCCCCCCCCCCCCCAGGACACTGCCCCTTCCCACACCTCCTGCATCCCCCCCACAAATACCCCGTGGTCTCTGAAACCCCCAAACCCAACACCCTCCCATAGCCCTCTCCAAGTCCTCCGCCCCTCCCCTCCACGGCCCCCCCCTCCCACTGCCCTCCCCACTGCCAGTGCACCCTCCCAGCACCCTGCCATACCCCCATGCACTCTCCTCTAGGACTCTATTCCCCCACAGTAGTGATCCTTGAAGCCCCCCAGGATCCTCCGCACCCCCCGGGACCCCGGCCTTCCCCCTCTCCAGGCCCAACTTCCCCCACCCCCCACCCCCCGCTCCCCACCACCACCAGCTCCTCCCGCCGGCAGGGGGCGCTCTCTGCAGGAGGTGCCGCTCTAGGGCGGTGTCCGCGCGCACTCTATGTCAGAGCTCCGGTTCCGGTCCGCTCCCCTTTGTGCTGGAGAAGATGGCGGCGCGGGCGGGCTTCCAGTCGGTGACTCCCAGCGGTGGCGGCGGCGGGGCCGCTGCCGGGGCCGGAGCGCTGGGCCCGGGCACGCCGGGCGGGCCGGTGCGCATGGGCCCGGCCCCGGGACAGGGCCTGTACCGCTCGCCGCTGCCGGGGGCTGCCTACCCGGTGAGGCAGGGGAGGGGCCGGTGGGGGCGTGCGGGCCGCTGCGGGGCGGGGCGGGAGGGAGCGGGGGCGGCGGGGACGCGGACGGGGCCGGCCCCCCCCGGTGGGCACTGGAACGGTTTTCTTCTTCCCCCCGCAGCGCCCCGGGATGTTACCGGGCAGCCGCCTGGCGCCGCAGGGCCCCTCCATGGGGCCGCCCGGGTACGGCGGGAGCCCGGCGGTGCGGCCCGGCATGGCGCAGGCCGGCCTGGACCAGGCCCGCAAGAGGCCCGCGCCGCAGCAGCTGCAGCAGGTGCAGCCCCAGGCGGTGCCCAACCGCAACCACAAGTAAGGACCGGGGGCAGCGGAGGGCTCCGGGCGTCGCTGGGGCAGCGGCGGGGGGATGGGAGCTCCGGACATGCCTGGGGCAGCCAGGCTCGTGGGGCATCCTCGGGTGCCCCTTTGGCAGCGGGGGTTCTTGGGGCAATGGGTGTCCACTGGATGCTGCCAGGTGTCCCCAGGGCAGTGAGGGGCGTAGGATATCCTTGGACATTCCTGAAATAGGAAGGATCCCTGGAGCCGTGGAAGCTCTCAGGTCTTCCCCGTGCTTCTCTAGGGTGGTGGAGATCTCAGAACATCCTTGGGCATCCTCAGAGCAGCAGAGATCCTGAGGACATCCCTGGGACAGCAGAGGAGTCTTGGGTGCATTCTTGGGCGTTCCTATGGTAGCAGGGTTCCTCAGGACAATCCCAAGGGCAAGGAGGAATCTCAGGGCATCCTAGGTCCAGGGGGTCTTCAGAGCATTCTCTGTGCATCCCCAGGGCAGTGAGGGTGCTCACGGCATCCCCAGGTGGGCACAGACACGTTACTTCTCTCCCCACAAAGCCTATGGGACAAGATCTGTGTTTCAGGGTGTGGGTAGGCACTGACATCAGAGCGAGCTGCGAGTCCTCTCTGAAGGGGCAGGCGCTGACTTGGTGTCATCTGCTGGCTGCTTATAGCAGCACAAAGCTTTTCTGTGTGCAGGGCCAGGCCTGGGGCTCTCATTGCTGCTTTTTGTTGGGTGGCTGAAAGAGACTTTGATGTTCTTGTGCAGCTTCTTCTCTGGGAGAAGGGAGATTCCAGCAGATAAAAGAGTAATGTGCAGCTGCTGGACAAGAGCAAGTTTACATTCGGTTTCTGACAGTACAGTGTGATGCCTTGGTAATATTGGTAATGCTGAGTCTCCTAGAAAAGTCTGTCTAAAGCAAATTGAGCCATAAGCCCCTTTGGTTGCTCTGTCAGTGCTTCCTTTTCAGTGATGCAGCCCTGCTTTCAGTGCTTTCCTTGGGGATGTATTGAGGTGATCAGCTGCTGTAGGGCTGAGAGCATTGCTGGTGCCATGGTCCTAAACCGGACAAACCTCATCTCCTTTTGTGAGGGTCCACTGTTAATTAGCACAGTGGTTGTCATTTTAATGCGTTCCTTACTTTACAGTGCTAAAAAGAAGAAGATGGCAGACAAAATTCTACCTCAGAGGGTGAGTGGCACGTGCATTTGACATCCTCTGTTATGAGA